CAACTTTATGGCGTGTTTCGAAGTGATAATCTTGAAAAATCGGATTGAAAGAGCATTTTAAGTTAAAGATGGTGTAAATTCCAATGGAAAAGAAGGTACGACAAATTAAATTTCGCTTTCTTTAGACTTGATAAATGTGAAAGATAGCCACAACTTCTACGTCGGTGTTTCGAAACCTTGATTGTTTGTAGCAATACAACTGTACTGAAACTTCAAACTGTATTATTTTTATTTTTTCCAAATTCTGCGCTTCCAAATTGGGGGTGCGGCTTATCTACGGATGCGGCTTATACATGGACGTTTACGGTATCTATCATGTGCAATTATGCAATATCACAAATTAAATTGGACATGCTTGAGAATTTTGGCGCACGCTGCTGCATGAACATTTAATCTTTAGTGGAAGTTGATGCAACTGGTATGAAAAAAAGGAAGTAAGTTCAAGCAAATGCGAAAGACAAAGAGTTATGGTGTGAAAACTAACTTGCAATTATGTCTGAATTTGGGAGCTGAGCCAAACTCTCTGTTCATTAAAAGAATGAAGTCTCCAAAAGACGATGGGACTTCTTTGAATCATCCTACCGGTATTTAATACGTAGAGGCTCTTAACCACCCATCCCAAATCTGAAGAAAAGCCTTTCACAACCCTTCCTTACCTTCATAAAGATTGCCAATCAATTCATTTCCATTCTAAAAAGAACCCACAGATGCAAAAGCTGTTGACTTTTTTTTTAATTCTCAAGGGGTATGCTTACAAAATTATTTGCTCTTTGATCTACACATCATAAAATCACATCATGTGAATTTAAATTGTACATCTTGATTTGTTTTAAATTATAACAATTATCATTTGTGATTATAAATAATTAATTATAAATTATAACATGACATATGTCATGTGCAGTACCATACAAATTATTTTGTGCTAGCTACTGTTAAATAATTAAGCATTCTTGCTGACCATTTAACCTTTTTATTCTCATAGACACTGGCAGGATTTTCAAGCAATAGATAGTTAACTTAAGTACGATTACAAAAATAATCAAGAAAGTCTCTAAATTTAGGCTCACTACATGAGTTGAATCATTTTTTATACTTAAATATCTATCAACCACAACTTGGTCTTTTGCACAATAAAATAATGGAAGAAAAAAACACCAAAATTATTTTAGAGAGCTCAATATCAATTAGTTATAATTAATCTGTGCCACTCTAACTAATTAAAATTCAATCCTTAACTGAGAAAGGTCTTTAGAGAAAATTGATTGTCCTTTTATATTGCAGATGCATTATGATAATTTTTAGCTGTTGTGCCAGACTGAGACAACTCTATGTACTAGGCATTTTCATTTTCATTGCTATCAGACCTCACAAGGAACTTGTCATACTTCTGAGATTAAGGTTAAGTGTAGTTCCATGACATATGTGCTACAAAATACTATTTTTTAAGCCCTAAGTGAAGGGTCCTTCTCACTGGGGTAACACCAGGCCAAAGACCCCTGAAAGATATAAAATATACAACAGTTCATCAATTAACAGTAAGAACTTATATAATTAAAAATGATAAAAAATTCTACAACAAACAAGTTCAAAAGTTTTTTTTT